TTTGAAACGTGCCTCAGGACCAGTCTACACAGGCTGATTGTTTTTCTTGGGTTTTAGCTGGAATGACATTAGCTCCGTGGGTAGACGCAAGCTGTCTCTTGCAATCCACGGTACCGGTGGGAACACAGAGCTTTGTGCCTGGAAATTAAGGGTAACAAAGTGAATATACTTAATGAATGTTAGTCTTTTGAAGCATCAGCTGCGCCCCTGTGGCACTAATCTTTTCATTTTATACAGACTTGGCTTTTGTAGTCTATCTTCGGGAGTGATTTCTCTAAAATGCTGATCTGGCCAAGAAGCCTTATATGACTTGGCCTCCTATTTTCCGCAAACCTCATCTTTCAATTCTCCCCTTCTCGTATGTGGTTCTCTGGACTTAAAGTAAAGGTACATAAACTCCCTGAGAGGGACAGTGCTGTTTCTACCTCCTGGCTTCTGCACTTGCTGTTCCCTCTGCCTTTATCCATCTAGAACATAAGGACACACCTCAGTTACCTTCTCTGGGGAGTCGTCTTTGACCCGTCTTTCTGCAGTTAGTCACATTTTGCTTTCTGCCATGACCTTACAGTGTAGAAATCTTTAATACACTGCTCCTTAGAGTGAGTGAATTAACTTGTTTACACACGTTTCTCACTCTCTGTTAGAAGCTGCTGATATCCCCAGTATCAAACATAGCACCTGACACAAAGTATTTTTTAATAAGACTTTGTTACATGAATGAAGGAAAACATTAGAGATCTTGGTGAAAGATCAATGGAATTTCATTGGGAAAAGAGCAACTTCCTATACTGAATTTGTCCAGCTGAATAAGTAGGATAAGAAGCAATATTTATTATTAGTCTGAAAACTATGGTTAAAGCATAGATTATTATGGAGCAGTAAAGGTTCAGAAATATAGTGTTTTAGTATATTTGTCTATTTCTTTTCTGAAACATAAATTAGTTGGAAAGAGATTAGGATTTTGCTATATGATAGTAAGTGGAAATAGCTAAAATTATCAAAAAGAAAATGGAGAATATTGTGGCAAATGGGACAGATGGAGACTTAATATTGATATTATAATGAGTTTGTGCCACTGATTTAAAATTCAAGATCCAAATAGATAATTGGGCAAAAGATATAAACAAGTATAGAAATTTGATGAAAACTCTTGCACACACTGCATTAAGAGTTATTTAAAATATTCATATCATTTGACCTAGTTACCCCTCACTTGGGGCTTTATTCAAAACAAAATTGAAGCAAGGATAATGCTATAACTATGAAGTTCACTGCAGAAATATTTTTATATTAAAACCTTCCATATTAAAAAGGTTTCATGGCATGTTTTTGTTTTTAGAATTATGTTTTGGAATTAATAGAAAACCCCTTCCATTGTTGTTACAACAATTAAGGAGGTGAGAGCAGTAGGAACAATAGACATAGAGTCAAAAATCCCAGCTCCTACTCTTGCATTCTTTATATTCTTGAGCAAATTTCTTAATTTGGGGAAATACAGCTATTTGAGGGCTTTTGTGAGTAGTAAATGAGATGACAAAACTGGCCTACAAAGGCTCCGTCAAAGTTAGCTGAGTGTCGATTGAATAAAGATGTCTGTGCAATGACTTCTTCCCATGTGGTAGAAGAGATTATAGTCCTAGTTACATTGGAATTCACTTTGACTTTACAAGTTGGCTATCACATGGTCACTACTATGTACAGGTAAATAGGGGACCTCAGAAAATGAATAATGCTGCTTCCAGGTCCCCTCTGCGGATTTGTGTTTTCTCCTTTTCTTGGCCAGAATGTGGGGTGGAAGAGGAAAGCATGAGCCGACTGGCAGAGGAGGAGGAGTATGGCCCAGACTTCATAGAAAGCTGGGAAGAGAGACCTTAACATCTTGCTCTAAGAGCAACAGTAACTCCTTGGCCTCACATTCATTTTAATATGAATCATGACCCTTATTTTAATATGACCTTTTAAAAACTTCACAGAAATATAGATTCTTAGAATACTGGAAATACCAAGGACTTCAATGGAGCAGACAAGACAAGAGCCGTCCATGCTTGAGAGATTGCAAAGGATTTCTGGGAAACAAAAATAGGAGAAGGAGCGCTGACTGAAGAATCCCCAGCGACCGGGGAAGGGGTTGTAGGGACCGGGAATAGACTGGCCTTAAGGAGCCCTGGAGAGCCAGGTTTCTGGAAGTGCCGGCGCGACAAAGGATGGAAGAGAAATGGAGCTGAAACTGGGAAGGCGAATTAAACTCTGCGTTTCCTGTCAGGCTGCCCCTCCTTCGCCCCACTTTCAGACAGACTGCCCATCAGGAAAGCATTTTTCTACCAGTCAAAACATCAGATTTTTTTTTTCCTTTTAAACAAATTGTGCTCAGCCCTAGAGCAAAGACTCTCCATATTACATCTAACTCCCTGCCAAATCCCTCTAAATCAGAGGTCCCCGCTGGACAGGCCTTGCTCCTGTGCACAGAGAGGGAATGGTATAGAAAGATGATCATGCAAATGCTGATGCATTTGTTTGCATCACCATTAAAACTGAATGGACAGCCCGGGATGGCCAGATGTTGGAGGACATCCAGAAGAACCGGCAATGAGAAAGAAAAGACCAAGATGAAATAAATAGAAAAATAACTCTAAAGGCAACAGAGAAAGCAGGAGACAGGAAAGAGCTTCAACAACACAAAGCAAACCCTCTCACATTTATATTCTTTAGAGAGCTTTGAGAAGATGTTGCATCCATAAAATAAGAATGGGATGCTTTGGAAAAGGAGCCATTAGAGAACAAGAAAGAGTTATTGGAAATCTGCTAGAGATTAGAACCAGAAGACAACGATGGAAATTGAAGAAAAAAGATGAGAGAGATAGAGGAACAATATAGGATGTCTAATTTATAAGAAAGGGGAAAATGGAGAAAAAGAAAATATCAAACAAACAATATGGATTTTTTTTCCAAAACAGAAAAGAATATTTGACTTGCCAGCATAATGAATGTGAAAAACATATGCTATATCCAAACACATCCTCGGGGAATTTTAAAACACAGAGAATAAAGCTTCTATAAACTTCTAGACAGAAAAAGCCAGTTACCTTTAGAAGAACAGGAATGAGCTTGGCATGAGCCACACTGGCTGATAAAGGACACAGACTGGTACCTTTAACATTTTAAGGGAAGATGATTTTCAACATAGAATTCTGTGCCCATTCAAATTATCAACAAAATATGATGTTTTCAGACATTTAAAGATTCAGGAAATTTACCTTCCATGAACTAGTTCTTAGGAAGTTACTTGAGATACTCCAGTGAAATGATGTAGTTATGAGATCCTAGAAACAGAAGCAAGAAGACTGAGGGTTCTGCTGGGAAGTTTTCTAGGGAGAAAGGGGTGTTTAGTGAAACTTGATACCATCTTTGGAAATTTGAAACAACCCAAGGAGATGTTACCCTAAAGGCAGACAGGAAAAGAAAGAAAGGCAATTAGAAACCTCAAGGGAGGAAAAAACACAAAAGGCTGAATAAGACAGCCATACCATACACCACTTGGCTGTGCAGAGAATAATATTTATATAATTCTAATAATGTGATTACTATTCGTTGATTTTGAATTTTGAGTCAATATACAGATGAAGGGAGGACTTATGGCTATAGGGCAAACTGTTTTAACCTTAATAATGTGAAAGCATAGCTGATGGTTTGGAAGCCGGAGTAGGGAGGAGAGTTCAGAGATGGACACAAAGAGCCTTGGCTTAAGAAAGTGTAGACACAAGGGATAATCTTAACTGGGAACTTAGAAGTAAAAGTATAGGATGTTATTTAAATCTGCAAAGCTAACCAGTAGAGAAACTGAAAATGGTGATATAACCATGTTGGCAAGAAAGGGAGATATCCAGAATAAGATGGCTGAGCTAAAATCTCATGTAGTGAAGAAATCAATGATAATATTTTAAATGGATCAAACAAGAAATAGCAGATATGTATATTATTTAGAGACCCAAAGAAACAAAAATAGGTATCACTGAATGATTTTTAAGTGGTTTCCTCAGAAGAATACAGCTAAGAAAATACTGAGTCAGAAGACTATTGCTTTTCCTTATACCAGTCTTTTATCCTCTTCTTTTTTAAAATTACTTTTAAAAAGGAAAGAAGGGAGGGAAGAAGGAGGAAGGAAAGAAAGGGAGGAAGCAAAGGATCATACTGTGATCTACTTGGAGATGCCAGGTTGATGTAGACTTTTCTAAGACCTAGGACTTCCACTCATTTCTTCTGATGCTAATATGAGTGTGAATACACATATTTAATAGGGCTTATTTTTACTTTATTTTTAAACTTTTTGTTTAAAAATAATTTCAACTGACATAAAAGTTTCAAGAATAAATATTGTACAAAGAACACTTGTATATTCCTTACCCAGATTCACCCATGTCAACATTTCACTCTATTTGCTGCTTCACTTACCCCTCGCCTCCCCCTTGTGTTTTCTAAACCGTTGATGGGTTGCATATCTCGTGACCTTTTACCCCTAAATACTGAGTGTGTGTTTCATAAGAATAGGTACAAATATGCTCTTACATAACCATGACAATTTTAACATTGATACAAAACTTTAAGCTACCAATAAGATTTCATATACAGATAATATTTTCCCTTCTCTAGGCTACCTCCCTGCAGATTCTGAACCTTTTTCCTTGTCTTCCCCCACTCCAGTCTTCCATCAGCCTCATTCTCTCCACTTGTTTTTGCTCCCCATTTTGAAGTCTTTGTTCTGTAATTATGTGAATGATTCCAGGAGCGTAAAACACAAACATACACAGACACACGCTTATAAGTAAAAACTTAACCAAGTCCTGTCTTGGAAAGAAGTGTTCTGTTCCTTTGCCTTTCTAAAATATCATTGGCACTGTAGTTTCAGTTGCCGACCGTCCTTTTGAAAGATCAACTGTACAGGTATATTTCCGAGGGTTTAACAGCTGTTTTTCTTCTCTGTCCTTTTTCACTCTGGTTTATAGTTTGAAAAAGTACCAGAAGGTCCTATCCCTCCGTCCACACCCAAGTTTGCTTATGGAAAAGTTGCTCTGAAAAAGGTAAGAAAAAAATAACAGAAACATTGAGAGTGAGGAAATGGAATTTAACTGTTGGGAGCGAAAGTGTTTCGCTGGGGCATCGGCTCGTTATTTTTCTGTGAGTTTGTTTTCTGTGACACTGATGGGGAAGATGATGTTTCTGGGAACCTGGGGGCACGGGAGGTGAGAGAAGGTGTATGCATGTTGACAAGGTGAGCAAATGGGGCATGAGGAGTAGGGAGGTGTTCTAGATCATTCAAGTCATTTTGGTTCAAATATCAGTTATCCAAAGCAATCCCAGGAACCTTTGTGGGAACAAAATGCCACCTTGTTACAGCTGGTGAGGTCCTTTTTTTTTTTTTTTTTTTTTTTTTTTTAATAATTCACCTTTATTTTAGGAGGTTCTCAAAAGCCAGAGGTATTTAGATAGGTATTTGCCATAAATTACACACTCCCATCTCAAAACCATGGCTAATTTTTTGTAGTCTGTAGTCCACATGGTAAATGAAACATCAGGGGGGAAAGCTAGACATCAATCATAAATAAGTTAAAGACACTTTATTCTAGGAGAAGAGAAAAAGAAGAGAGGTTGCATTTTATAGTTAGGAGTGACGTAAGCCAAAGTCACTTTGTTTTGACCATCTCGTTTTTCAGGTTTTCCCCTTTTATAATCCCTAACTCCTACATGTATTAACTCATAAGAAAAGAAAAAAACAACATGAACAGTTGCATATTTCTTACGAATCTTGATATTCTAAAATAGCATCATAAGTTTTTATCTTTAAGCAAAATGCCAAACACGATGGTAAGATTTTTCCATTCATGAAGCCCTTTGATATTATGGTTGGTTGAGTTCTTGTAACTTTTTCCACCTAGCGTCAGATGCGTGTGTTACATTTTACAAAGAACGTAGTGGTGGTTCTGCCTGATAGGCATCTTTCTTTAGATTAATCAAACTTTAATCACACTTGTAGAGGGAGCACCTCCTGCTTCTTCACTGCTATTGCTACTTAAGGAAAAGTTGGTTTGTTGGGTTTAGAGCAATGAGGATTTTATTTTTATACCACAGAAAATAACTGCAAACGTTTAATACAACATTGCTAAAACAAATTTAGCCTGGTATCAAAAGCACATTCTGTTTACCGTGAAAGAAAATTGTGTGAGCAGAAAAGGTTTGTAGTTAACTAAATACTTGCAATTTAATAGAGCAAATCAGCCTATGACTCCATTAAATTTATATAGAACTTAGTCACACAGGATAAAACCTTTTACCATGAGTTGTGTTTGTCCAAGTGGGAAGACGTCCATGTGAGTAGCTGAACTGATAAAATTGTGCTTAAGATCTTTATCTTCAGTGCTGCACATCAGCAAGAAAGTGCTTATGAAATTCCTAACTGGTATCGTTGTTATGGAAAGTCCTGGGTTTGGAGCCAAACCTCACTGCAAATCCTGGCTCTGCCATTGCCCAAGTGAGCTTCCCCGAGCCCCTAACCTGGGGACAGTCATGCCTTCCTCACTGGGTACTCGGGAGGATTCAATGAGGTTTGTGTGTAAAGCTGTCTCCCCTGGAGATTGCTAGCCACCCAGTGTTGGGTGGCTGTTACCATTGGTGTTATTGCACCAGAATAAGCATCCTGAGTTGCCAGGATACACAATTGTTTGGACTGAATATGGGTGTTTGTTGACTGGCCACTATGTACTGGGCGCGGGGGGTGAGCACAGCACAGACCCAGCCCTCATGGAGCTGGCAGCCTGGCAAAGCGGAACAGCTGGTAGATGATACAGGTGTGGAAGACAAGTCACAGAAAATTCGGAGAGCGCAGTCTCGGGTACTTCACTGCAGGGCGTTGGGCAAGGCTTCAAAGGAGGCCGCCTCTGAGCCTCGCGTTTCATTTATTTTAAGAGTCTTTCTCTATAGGAGGCTGTATTTGCAAATAGGTATGTTTGAAAGTCTTTTTCAGACTCCCATCAGGTACTTTTCATCAAACGTTAGGGACCTGCTAGAGATGATTGAAGGTGACTGGGGAGCCTGTGGAGTGGAATCTGAACCATTTAGGTTTATTTAGGGGGTTGGTCAAATCCACTAATCACTTTGATAATTTGCAAACGACATTTTCGACTCTGATGACCAGGGAGAGGTGCACAGTGAATGAGTGAATGCTGCTTTTGTTTCTTTTCAGTTAAAGACAGTGGAGGAGTCACTGAACATTCTGTGTCCCAACGGGCCTATTAAAAGCGTTTACCCCTTGACATTTATCCAGGTTAAACAGGTAGGCCTTCGCAGGTAATGCTTTTTTTCCACTTGTAAAAATGCGCTTTCTGTCCCACCTTGCAATGTCATTTCTTAGCACAGGGGCCAAAATAGTGAACAGATGAACCAGACCCCAAGTAATCTAACAGTGGATTTTTCCAGGCTCTTTTTAGCTTTAAGTATTGCACATTAGGCTGATTTTTTTCTGTATTTCCCCCTTTTCTTCTTATTCTCACTCAGATAAGTTACAGCTCAACCTGTTTTCAACATAATTGTGTACAAGCTATAAATTGAGTGCATTTATGATCTAATTAACCTTTATTACTAAGTACCAGTGGAAAACCGCTATTTTTATCCCAAAAACAACAATTTTATGATTTGTCCTTAGTTAGCTCAAAGGTTTAAGGACTATGTGTTTACTACATTAGGTTCTTAGAGATTCTTTCTCCTGCTTTGGAAGAGAACAGAAAACAAGCACATTGAGTGCTGTGTGGGTACGTGTTTAATCTCCAGGCGCTGCCCCGTCATTAATTTAAGAGCTTTTCCAACTTTTTATTTTGGAAAATTTCAAATCTGAGAGTTGCAAGAACAGTACACCCAACACCCATGTAACTTCCACCTAGACTCTCGGAGGTAACAGTTGCTTCACTTGCTCTGTCTTTCTGTGTGTGTGTCATCGGCCGCTGGTTTGTTTTCTCTTCCATTTGAGTTAGTTGCCACCATCATGATACTTCACCCCTAGATATTAGAGCATGTATCTTTTGAGAGGGACAGTATCCTACATGACCACAGTATAATGTTCACACTAAGAAATTTGACATTAATGCAATCGAATGATCTAATATACATTCCATAGTCAGGTATCCCAGTTATTCCAATAATGTCCTATTATAGCTTAACTTTTTCCATCCAGTTTCCAATCTGTGATCCTGCATTACATTTAGTTATGTCTCTTTAATCTGCTTTCGTCTGAAACTGTTCCTAAGTCTTTTTTTTTCTCTCTCTCTCATGAGATGAACATTTCTGAAGAGTTCAGACCAGTTGTTGGTAGACTGCCACTCACTTACTAGGTTCAGTGACAAAAACATTTTTGGCACAAACATGACAGAGGGTGATGTGTCCTCAGCGTACTCACGAGGTCAGCTTGTCCCTCTGTTACCACGTTAGGTTTGATCACTCAGGTGAGATCTCAGCCCTGTTTTTTGAATGGGTCCTACTTTCTGTAGAGATTGCCTTCTGGAAAGGTGTCTGAACAACAAGGTGGTAGAATAATAGCACACCTACTCTTACTGTGGTGCGTTTTGCCTCCAGTCACTATTCTTACACCCGTAACATTTTACTAGTTTTATGAGAACGTTTTACAAGGGACTATTTTTACACGTGTAAAATTTTACAGGAATGTTTTATGCCAACTAATCTGGTATGCAGTAAATAAAATGAATAATCAGGCTGCCCTACCTGACCTTTTTCATTAACACTGGGTTGAGTCTTCTGTCGAATCTGAGCATGCACCGGCTGTATGTGCATATCTTCATCTGTGTGCTAGAACGTGCCTTCCCAGCTGGTGGGGCCATGCAGCACGTTAGAGAAGACAGGGCGCTAGCGCAGCTGGAGCCTGGAAAGTGAATTCCAGGTCCTCGTATAGACATCTACAGTCTTTGCTCTTTCTCAGGCTCCTTCTGCTGTCTGATCTTTGACCAAGGCAGTGCTCTTGGCTTTGGTGAGGCTCCCTGAGCCCCGGCTGTTTCGGGTCTAGAGCAAGCCCACAAAATGTTTATTTCGAATGAAACCCATGGAGGGCCCAGCTGCAGGGAGTGGGGTGCAGCCCTGGGACATCCCCCACCCCCCAACTTCAGAGGCCTGAGCTACACCTTTGCAGGGAGCATCACAGCTTCCGCTCCCCTCAGGGGGGCCTTTCACCAAGTTTTCCTCAGCCTCTGAGTTCAGATGTACCATTCTGCTTACTTTCAAAAGTAAAAAAAAAAGCAAGAGATGAATGAAGACTTCGGGGTCTGGGGGAGAGGCATCCCGGGCCTGAATGTCTGGTGGTGGCCCCCGTCAGCCCTGTCCTGCAGCGCAGGGACACACGGGTTAACATTTGTTTCTGGCCTCTGCAAATCCCCTTTCCACTTACCTCAGGTGCACTGCCTTGCTTTCCTGGCCCTAGAAGTGAGGAGCTTTTTCTCTGGTCCCTGAAGGATTGTGATTTGGATTCTTTTCACTGACTCTGGATGTGGCCCAGCTCACCGTGGCGAAAGTCCAGAGCAGAAAGGCCACTCAGCAAGGCCTTGCTGCTGAGGCTGGCTGTTGGGGGCCTCCCTTCAGAGCAGGGATACCAGCACCTGAAAGTATTTTCTGACTTGGCAGCAGGTTAAACCCCTGTCTCTCGCTGTCTCCATTTCCCCTACTCCTCCACTTTAAACAGTTTCTGATTGACTGTTGTTTTGTATGTTAGAGCAGAGTTAGCCCAAGAACCTGGAAAATGTTTCACCAGACCTTCTTGGCTTTGTTGTTGTATGTCTTTTTTGTTTGTTTGTTTCTTTGTTTTGTTTTGTTTTGTTTTTGAGGTAATAAATATATGTGATAGGATCCTCCTCAGTGATTCAGGGCAAATCACTGAACATGTTCCAGAATCCTCTTTGCTCACATGGGAAAGGAGGTTTAATAAACCTCTCTTCAGGGTTCCTTGAAGTTTGCTACTTTGGTAGTTATTCCATGATCTAAAAATTGAAGCCGGTTTCATTCTTTCCAACTGAAATTTCTCCAGAGGTTTTCCCGAAGACTTTTATTTGTGACAGCTTTAGAAATGTCCCTTTCATGCAGATGGAGGGCAAATGAGCTCTCTTAAGATGAATAGCAAAAATGACAAATTCTTCTTTCATCCTTCTCTGACCAGTATTTTGGGTTTGTGCTGTACCGAACCACACTTCCTGAGGACTGCAGCAACCCCACGCCCCTCTCCTCACCCTTCAGTGGCGTCCACGACCGGGCCTACGTCTCTGTGGATGGGGTAAGACTTGGCCCTGAGCTGTGTAAGTCTGCCCCAGCAGGGGCATGTGTGGTCTGCACTTGGTAGCATACTCTCGAGACCTTGGCCCCGCTTTCAGCCTCAGGCTGTGCCCCTTCTCCTGTGGCTCCATCTGCCCGAATCAGCCCCTTCCCCATCCTCACCTGGAGGGCCGTGCTGAAGGTCGCACCTTCTCAGCAACCTTTCTGGCCTCCCCAGTCCCAGGCCATCCTTTGTGACTGACTGCCGCATGTCACCCCTGTCTTCTTTGCTCCTTGAGGAAAGGGTCCCTTTTGTACAGGCCAAAGTGGTGATTCATTTAAGAAATGTTATATTCTGAAGGGTCATTCATGGTAGTTGTAGCTAACATCCACAAAGAACTTTGTTTCATAACAAAGGAAAGCTATATTCCTCCCACTGAAATATTCATGGGAAAGAACACATGAGGAGATTTAATTAAGAAAAGTTGTTCAGAAAATTTTAATTTAAAACAATCCCATTCTATTGTCATCAGCTCCTTAGACATTATGTGTATACTGATGGCAATTGTTTCTTGGATTTCCATTTAGGAACTGTGTTAGGGAACTATGGTCAGTAACATTTTTTTAAATTTCATCCTTTAAAAAATTAGGAATATGTTGCTGCTGAAATACCTGTTGTTTTCATTCATTCTATTATATTATATAATTTTTGGGGTTAACGCATTATATCAGGTATTTTGAGGTGGGGACACTTCACCTAACTCTGATTTTTATCTCATTTATATGCTTTATCTCTGCTCACCATTTTGTTAAGAAGCTTTTTTTTTTTTTTTTTTTTTTTTTATGGCTGCCTTTTATGCTGTGAGAACACAAAGAGGTTCCTGTGATAGGAATCCTCCCCTGGAATTTTTTGCCCCCATTTCCTTCCTATTAAAAACAGACACAAAGCAGCCTTGGCCGGGTAGATCAGTTGGTCAGAGTGCTGTCCTGATACACCGCGGTTGCGAGTTCTATCCCCAGTCAGGGCACATACACGGAGCAGCCAATGAGAGCATAAATAAACGGAACAACAAATCGATATTTCTCTCCCTCCCTTTCTCTCTCTCCAAAACCAATTTTAAAAAATAGACAAGAAGCAAAACCTTCCAGAGCAGAGGAAACCAATCTAGACCTTTCCTTGCTGAGAGCCATGTCTGGTGACTTTCCTGTTTAGAAAGCCAATGACTGGGACTAACAGGCCATCAAAGCATTTCCTCCCAAGTCTGGTGACACTTTGAGGGAGGGAAAATGAGTGCTGAATTAACTGAGGGAACTGCCTCGCTGCTGACCTGCTCACCTTAGGTAATTGTCATTTGACATTGAACCCACAGGTCCCCCAGGGCATCCTCGACCGAAGCAATGTGATCACTCTGAACATAACAGGGAAAGCCGGAGCCACTCTGGACCTGCTGGTGGAGAACATGGGACGCGTGAACTATGGCCATTTTATCAATGATTATAAGGTAGGACCAGCGTCGCTGTTAGCAGTGAGGTTCAAAGGCTGGCAGCACTGTGCCTAAGCCATCGGAAGAAATTTTTGTAAATCTGTTTTAAAATGCTCACCCATACATATTTTTCTCCTGTAGCCCTGTTATCATAGAAGCAGTTCTTAAAAGCACACATATGTTGTCTAATTTGATGAGTGAACCTACCCTGATTTGTTTTGCAACCTAAAAGTTGGGTTATTTTGAAGACCTTACTTCCTCTGCAGCTTATGAGAAAGTTGAGCTTTGCAGACAGAACTCTTCCCTTGTGTTTGAGTTCAATCATCCCGCAGAAAGAAAGAGAAGAAGGAAACCACCCCACTGTGCTCTGCTTTTGCTTATAAAACCCACCTAGCTCTCAAAAGGCACCCCCTTGTCAACCAAACCAGCCTAGCTCTGGGTCTGCTCTATTTTCTGGGTATGCACAATCCGTGACAAACTCTCACCGTCCAAAGCCTTGGTGCACCGCCTCTGCCTTGGCCAGCTACTCTGTGCCGGGAGTCTAGTCCAAATACATTTCACTTAAACGTATTTTTGGAGCATTACTCAACAAAGATTTGTTAACCTCATACTCTGTACGAGCTGCTCCTTGAGGTGCTTCGGGGAAATGCCAAGGTGTTGAGACAGTCCTCGGCTACCTCGCCATCTGCTAGATGACAGGAGGCTGCACCGAGGGAATGACGGCACCACTGGGTCTAGGGCAGGACAGGTGTCTGGGCTATTTCCTGATCCTCTGCGTGGCAGCTCAAAGGGGAAGCAGTTCCATCCTCAGGGAATGGGCGCGCTGGGGCCATTCCCTAAGTAGAAATGTCTCTGTTACAGGCGATCATTAGCGGCCTTCCTGCCTGCCTCTCACCATGGAATGACAAGGATGCTTATGTAATCCCTGGGTCCCCAGTACCCAGCAGAGGGCCTGGCACCCAGCTGCCTGGTTAATGTTTATTGAATTACTCAAGGGGCAATTGAGGCTTGGTAGTGAGAGATGTCCTGAGACAAACTTGGGCTCTCACTAGGAATCGGGGCGGGGGGGCAGGGTTCTCCCATGTAAAAGGCCAAGAAGGGGAAGTCAGATGAGCCAAACCGTGAGCAGGGTGAGCCAGAGTGGTGGCCGGTGGCGTGGATACCTGCCTCTGGCCCTTGCCGGACAAATAGAGCAACTTCAGAATACACGTCTGAGCTTCACCACCAACATCACTGCTCTTTATGAGCCTTTATGGATTCAGTAGCCCCCTTATCCAGCGTTTCACATCCCAAAATTTCAGTTAACCGCAGTCAACCATGGCCCAAAAATATTAAATGGAAAACTCCAGAAACAATTCCAGTTTTAGATTGCGTGCCATTCTGAGTAGTGTGTTGGAACCTCATGCCGTCCTGCTCCATGCCGCCTGGAAGGGGAACCATCCCTTGGTCCGGCATCTCCACGCTGTATACCCCGCAGCTCGTCAGTTACTCGGTGCTGTCAGATCCACAGTCACGGCATCGCAGTGCTTGTGTTCAAGTAAACCTCATTTTACCGAATAGTGGCCTCAGAGCACAAAAGTATTGAGGCGGACAATTCGGATACGCCAAAGAGAAGCCATAAAGTGCTTCCTTTAAGTGAAAAGGTATGTGCGCGTGGGCATAGGGAAAAACATGGTATATATTGGTCTTACTCGCAGTTTCAAGCATCCACTGGGGGCCTTGGAACAAATGGCGCATGGATAAGGCGGGCTACTGTATCAAAATATTCTCACGTATATCATCGCATTTAGCCCTTACAGCAGGCCGGGGGCTCAGGCAGGATCATCCTTGTGAGTGCTGCCGAGGGGCTTCAGGTCAAGACTGGCTTGCTCCGGATGCATGTCAGGGACAGAGTCCGCCCTTCCCTCCGTCTACAGGGAGTTGAATGTTGTTTTGCGTTCCTCAGATTCCATCTTTTCCTCCATTCTAGCAATGGCTCTGAATCAGACACTGCAGAGAAGGCTTTGGGGTGAAAAGCTGTAGTGGTTCAATCCCCTTTTTGCAGAGGCAGAACTCTGGGCCTTCTGTGGGGACACCCTGGCCTGCAGAGGAGAGAGAAACCTGTGGTTTGGGAAATGCACCTCTTCCCAGGGAGATGTGACTCTTCCTAAGCCACGTCTGTGTCGATTGGATGTACACACTGTTTGAGTCTCGTTTACTGCTGGTGTTTCATATCCCAGTTTGCTTTTCCCAGGAGTCCAGGGATGGAACGCAGAGACGCCCAAAGCCTCTCCCTCCCCGCCCCAGCTCACCACCTTGCTTCTCCTTGGCAGGGCCTGATTTCTAACCTGACCCTCAACTCCACTATCCTCACGGACTGGATGATCTTCCCGCTGGACACCGAGAGTGCAGTGTGCCACCTGGGGGGCTGGCATGGCAGTGACCACGGAAGCCGCCATGATAAAGCTGGCCCCCTTGGCGCATCTAACTACACGGTCCCGGCCTTCTATGTGGGAAACTTCTCCATTCCCAGTGGAATCCCAGACCTGCCCCAGGACACCTTTATCCAGTTTCCTGGATGGACCAAGGTACATGTTTTCATAGAAAGTGTTTGAATTCAAGCGTCGAACGTCTGGTGTTTAGTGTTTGAGAGAAAACCAAAAAGAGCTGCTCACTAGATGCCACGCGGCAGTTTCGGAAACAGAGGATTTTCTGTGTGAGCTCAGCCCTTCCTCGGGAGTGGGGTCATGGCAGGTCTTCAGGGATTCGGCGGCCCGGCCAGCCTGGAGGTGGCACCATCTACCCCGTTTTCATTGACTGGCAACTTCCTTTTGGGAGTGATGACTTTTCTGCTTCCTCTAAGAAAACTCATTGCCTCTTTGGATGTTGATTATGAGGGGCACTTCCTCATTATTCTGAAGAAAATCTGGCCCAAGCAAAAGGGTGACTTTCCAGGAGAGCCCATTTTACTTTTGTCCGTGCCTCCCGTAACACGCCCATAACACGCCCTCCTTCATGTGGCCCTGGGCCCGGGCGGCATCCATCTTTGTCTGTATGATCCTCAACTCTTTTTTGGCCACTCTTCTTTATTCTTTGCAGACCTTAGTATATCTTGCTTCACTGTCATTTTCTCCACTGCAAGTCCTATTTTCATCGTAGATAACCTTACCATCACTCAGTTATTCATTCAAGAGAGTTATTTTCAGTGGCTACTGTGTGTCAAACTTTGTGCTGAGCACTAAGGATATAATTCAAAAAGTAGGTTTACAGTTGTGAGTACGCAAAACACAGAGCTTATTTTTGTATTATTATTTATTATTATTGTATTATTTCCCATACAAAAACTGTAAACTTCCTTGTGCCGCACCCTGTATATAAAACTACATATGGTCCTTGTCCTCATGGAACTTACAGTCTAGGTGTGGAGCAGGACCAAATCATGTAACCACCCAAATGAAGTGGTAAAACTGTAGCTGCAATGGGTACTAAGAAGAGATATTGGGAGCTGATAATCACTGGGACATTTGACCTTGTCAGGGAGATCAGGAAAGCCTTACCTGGGGAAGCGGTGCTTGAAAGATATGAAGGATAAGTAAGAATTAACATGGCAGAAAGGGGAGGAAAACATTTTCCAAGCAGAGCAGATAAAGGTGCAAAGGCCAAGTGCTTAGAGGGGAATGTGGTAAATATGAGGAAGGATTCAAATGTGTGCAACACAGAGAAAAGGGAGTATAGTTCAGAGGAGAGGTGAGAAAGTGGGTAGAGACTAGGTTGGAATAGGCCAATTATATCACATTACAGTTTTGTCTTTATGTTGAGAGCCATTGAAAGAGAGTGACATGGCATGATTGTGATGTCACAGCGTCTCCGACCTCCGTCTGCAGATCGGGCTGAGTGAGGATATGTGTGAATTCAGGGAAACTTCCTAGGAGGTTGGATCATAGTCTCCTTGAGAGTCTGGGATGGCGGTAGTCAAGATGGAGTGGACATCAGCTAATTGGGAGATGTTTGCTGTTAAATCAATAAGATGAAATGATGGACTGGATATGAGAGTTTAAAGAAAAAGACATATCCCAGATGACTCTTAAGTTCCAGACTTGCAGCTGCACTTGCAGCTGTACCATCTACTGAAAGAAGAAATTTCAGAAGACTTGGGCTGGGACAGTGAGGTCATGGGTTTGGATTTGGACACACTGAGTTTGAGAACCTTGGGAGGACAGCCCTGGGAAGACACTGGAGGAGGCCTGTTGGATCGATGGACTCGGAATTCAGAGGAGGGCTCTGGGCTGGAAATACACATACATGCTCATTTGCATATGGGTGGTCGTTGAAGATATGGGATGGATGAGGTCCTCTGAAGAGAGAGGATGCAGAAAAAGAAAAGAGGACCTAAGGCTGGTTTTGGAGAGACAGAAACATGACAGAGTGAGGAGGAGAGACGGAAGAAGTAGGAGAAGAGCAGGCATTTATGCTTTCTAAGAGGACAAGTGAAATAAAGACAGAAGCGCTTCTGCTGGGTTCAGCAACAAGGAGGTCCCTCGGACCCTCAGTAGGTGCTATGCCAGCGGAGTGAAGCAAGCCAGACTGCATGCCCTGGAGGAATGTAGGGTAAGGCGACGAACACGTGACCATAAGTATGGCTACTTGAATATAAATGTTCTTTTGAAAAGTTTGACTCTAAAAAAGAAAAAGAAAAAAATGTTAGTAGCTGGAAGAGAGAAGGGCAAAACATGCATGTGGATTGTGTTTAATAAATGCCCTTTTATACTTTTTGCTTTTAAATGATTATGGAAATATATTGTCATTATCATTTTATTTGAGTACTTTATAATTTCCCTTATTATCTCTTCTTTGACCCATAGATTATTTAGAAATGTGTTGTTTAATTTTTGTATATTTGTGGGGTTTTTTTTTAGCATATCTTATTTTTATTAATTTTAATTTAATTCCTCTGTAAAATTCTGGAAGAAGGAGAAAAATCTGTATAACCTTGGGTTAGACAAACACTTCTTAGTTTTGACACCTAAAGCATGATCCTTAAAGGGGAAAATTAGTAAATCAAGCTTCATTAAAATTAAAAATATTTTCCCTTCAAAAGAAATCATTAAGAAAATAAAAATCCAAGTGACAGATTGGGAGAAATTATATTCAAATCATATATTTAACAAAGACTTTTATCTAGAATATATAAAGAATTCTCATAACTCAATAATAGGAAGACAAAGAACCCAAAGAAAAAAATGAGCAAAAGACTCGAATAGACAGTTCACCAAAGAAACTATGCAAATGATTGATAATTACATGAAAAGATGATTAACAATCTACATCATTAATCATTAGGAAAGTACAAATCAAAACCACAATGAGTTAGCACTTCTCACCCACTAGAATGGCTATAATAATAAAAGATAGACAGTAACAAATGTTGGCAAGGATGTAGAGAAGTGGGAACCCAAAGACCTAAATGTGAATATTCATAGCAGCAATATTCCTGATAACCAAAAACTGGAAGTAATACAAATGTCTGTCAACTAATGAATGGATAAATAATGTATTTCATACAATGGAATAGCATTCTGCAGTAAAAAGGAACAGACTACTGATACATGCTACAACATGCATAAAACTGAAAAGCATTATGCTACGAAAAAGAAGCCAGACTTATAAGACCACATATTATATGATTTACTTATATGAAAGGTTCAGAAAAGGCAAATCAGTAGAGACAGAAAGTAGGTAAATGGTTGCAAGGGCTCATGGTGCGGATGGAGAGCAACTGCATGGGTATAGGATTTCTTTTGGGAGTAATGGAAATGTTCCAGAATGAAATTGTGGTGATGGTTCCACAGCCTTCTTAAAATTATTGCGACTTGTGTTATGACCCAGCATATGGTATATTTTGGTGAGCATACTTCTAGAATTTTAAGGTCTGATATCCCCTTTCTGGCCACGTGTTTCTATCCCCCAAACTCTTAGGCGTCCCAGGCCTACTCTTGGATCTTACTGATGACCTGAAACTCTCCACCGTTAAGGCTGTAGCTCCTCCCTGTCCAGCCCAGACATCACCACTGCCCCTTTTTTAAGAGCCATCAATCCCTGGCCCCCTTGCCCTTCTCTTCTGTCTGCTTGCTCATCCTCCATTTTTAGTGGGTCTGCTATTGGTCTTTGCTGGTTCACCAGTTGCTGGGGACTGCTGGGGGAGTCTCCAACACATTCATCAGGGCCGCAATCCTCTCACTGTCTCCATCCTCTGGAGGCCCCCACCTTGCCCAGTAGCCCCTGGTCTGGCTCTTCCCCCTTCCTCAGGGGCCGCCTAACCTTCACCACCCTCCTTAGGCCAGTTTATTCTTCCACCTCCTCCACTGAGGACTCACCCTTTGACTGCTCTCAGGTGTTACTCCTTTGTTCCCTCAGCTTCCTGTCAGACTTATCTCTCTACCTCTACACCCTCACTTCCTGCCCAGTGGCCTCTAGGAGGAAGTGTAAGCTCTGAATCCCCTCCCCACCTTCTTCCTCCAGGCCAAGACCCTGTTCTCTTCTTCCTCCTTCACGTGTGTCAGCCTTTCTCTGCCAAGTCCTGTGTTGCAGCCAAGAAGTGATACCTGGGTCTGCAACCTAAAAACAAAGTAAAGCCCTCCCTGGATGTTCCTGCTCCAGCTAGCACGCTGTTCTTATTCCTTTGATCCCTCTTTTGCTCCCCTCCTCCCTTTTCCTCTTCTCCGTCTTGGTGTGCCACTATATCTTTTATTCCCCTTGTTCATCCTTTTTCATTCTCTCGCTCTGCCCAACTAGCCATCACATATTCATCTGTCAAGAATGACATTGACTCCTCTAGGAAACCTTCCCAGACCCTTAGTCCAGGAAAAGACTGGCCCTGCCCTCCTTCGAGCCCCTCTGTGCTCCACCTGGACTCAGCACCATGATGCTCCATCACACTTAGGTTGACACCTTGGTTTCAGCCACTGGGTCATAAGCTTCATCATGGGCACTTTTTAAGTGTCCAGCTTACTCACCATACTGCCTTCCTCCTGGGCCTGGGTGCTCTGTGAATGCTTTCCAGCAGACAGGTGCACCAATGCCTGTGCTGCTGAACCCTGGGAAGAAAGCAATTGGGAGTGCTCAGGGGCTTTGCTGGGGCTTAGATTATAGGGCCAAGGCAAATGAGAAGACCCAAACACAAATCATTGAATCATTGTTCACCGAGTGGCATCAATTTAGTGCCTTAAGAGAAAGAACTTTCCAGAAATGCAAAGCAGAAGGAGAACATGTCTGTTACAGGGATTATCAGAAGGGCTGGGTGGTTCAGATAGAGCTTGAAACAGACCTGAAGGATGGAAGGCCCTTCATCAGAATCAGAGGGAGTTTTGTCAGGGAAGGAATTTCATGTGGGAGAATAATAGAAGCAAAGGTACAGAAATGGAAAAGCAGGGGACATTTTGGAGGTCAGAGGGGGTTCACCTTGGCCAGGTCATAAAGATGTCAGAGCAAGAGTTACAGAGCCAGGCTCTCCTGAGCACTTTAGAGACACTATCTCCATAATCATCAAGAGTGGCACATGTGGTAGGATGTTGTATCATTATCTCCAGTT